GTAATCCCAGCACTCGGGAGGCTAGGCACCCCTAGAATCACCAAGAGTTTGAGGACAGTCTGGGCTCCATAGCGAGAACCTGTCTCAGAAATACAAAAATGAAATAGATAAAAATCATCTTATGAAAATGCAGATATCTGTTTTTGCTGTATAGCAATCACTCTAAAAGCTAGTGGCTTAAACAACTACTATTTATTTAGGTGAAAATTCTGGTTAGCATCTGGTCATTCTGATCTGGGCTGGTATTGATGCTTGCCAGACTTGAACATGCATCTACACTCAGCAGCAGACAGCGGGTGGATGGGTAATCTAAGGTGGTCTCATTCATACATTCAGCAGCTGGCAGGCAGGAGTTACAGGTCACGTGTCTTTCATCATCCAATGAGATTTCCTGGTTTCCTTCACATGCTCGTCAAGCTGCGCAGGACAAGCAAAGCACATGTCTCATGTCTTCTTGATACCTTGATCCCTTGCCATCTTTTTCTTTTTTTTTTCCATTAAGTTTATTGGTACATTTTAGGTATAAAATATATTTACATACATCATTAGGATCTTGTACCTTTACATGAGTATCTTGGTTCTTATTTTTTTCCCCCTTCCCCTGCCCTCCCTTTACCTCCTCCAACCTTCCCTACTTGCAAAGACTTTGTTTCCATTTTTTTCCTTTTCTGATATTTTTCCTTTTTGCTTCTTTCCTTTGACCTACCCCTCCCACTTCCCCTACTCCTTTAGACCTTTTCTTCCTATTACACAATATCAATTATACATTTTTTAAATTACAATATGAAGATCTAGGAGACATTACCACAGAGTTTACAGAATTTAAAAGGATATAGAAAGCATATTACATAAATCTGTTTTGAAATAAATTTGACAACTTCTAAGAAGTACCTTGGAAGACAAATTAATAAAACTGACCCTGGAGGAAATATAAAATTTGAATAGTACCTATTGAAGAAAGTATATTGCTAGCTTAAAAACCTACCTATATGACAACAACAGGCTCATATACATTTTAACTGATGAATT